ACTGCTTCTACTAAGCTGTCTCCTGTAGACACACACAGGCACACACTTTCTCTCTAAATTAACTAATTATTATTATTTTTTAAATCCCCAAACGACTCTTCCTTTTTAAAACTCTAACTTACACTTTCTCTTCCATCCTTAGGGAGTGTTTGCCGGTGTCTCATGGTGCCTGGCTGCAGATCAAGGACAAACTGCAGAGTTGGTTGCCGCCTACCACCATGGGATTGAACTCGGGACTTCAGGCTTAGTGTCAGGCCCCTCTACTCCCACCAGTCCCATCATTAACACATAATACTTCGGTTCCCTTCGTAAGTGATTTTATAAACATACAGAAAATTACGGTAACCCACGTTAAAAACGGCATATGAAAATGAAACAATGTCCACTTTTTTTTTTTCCTTTTTGGTGTTTTGAGATAGGGTCTCATTCTGGAACCCACTATGTAGAACATTCTGGCTTCAGATGTGCCCCAGTCCTAACATTTCAGTGTCTCCAGTTCTGGGACTATTGACGTGAACCACCACACCCATCTCAAATAAAATCTCTTAGTTGGACTTCCCTTTTGCAAGCATCCCCAAGGGACGGGCAGGCCCTTGGAAAGTTAAAGTGTTTTCTGTATGGGAAGATGCTTCGGAGCATCTGTGTGCCACATGCATGGGTTTACGATGCTGTGATCTCGCCGCCGTGGTTTCTAGACGATGGGTGTGCCCCCTGCAGTGCCCAATGCAGCCCTCTTCTAATGCACAGGAGACTGGATTAGATCACTATTGTGAAAGGTCCACAACAGTGAAGTCAGTTTGGCGGTGTGTAATTGCTCCACCAAGGAACCAAATGCTGGAACTCACCCTCTAATATTGTAAAGCATGTCAAGCATGTCGTGCACGTGTGTGTGTGTGTGTGTGTGTGTGTGTGTGTGCATGCACGCGCGCACGCGTGTACCTGCATGTGTGCTTGTCCCGCAATAATGCTTTCCTTGGACATGGTGAGGGGTTATTGTGAGGCCAAATCCTAAAGGAGTAGGAGTGTTAGCCTACTCTTGTTCTTGTTTAGGGAAAGGGCTAGGTTGTTTTGTTTTGTTTTGTTTTCTAATTTTTCTCTTTAATCGTTCCACTTGTTTTACTGTTGTTATTGCATTTCATTTGTGGTTTTGCATTTGCTCACCTTTCTTTCATCCTTATTTCCTTTTTTCCCCGGCTTTGACAAGGTCTTCCACTGACTGAACCTTACCAAGAGGACTAGCTGGGCCAGCCAGGAAACCCAAGGATCCATCTCCCTCCTCCTTGAGCTGAGTTCACAAGCCAGTGCCACCAGGCCTGGCTTCACTGGAGTGGTTTCTGGGATCCAGCTCAGGCTTTCCTGCTTGGAGGTAAGTGCTGTCTCCCCATCCTTGGGATGCTTTGACCTGTACTTGTTTTAGCACACGGAGGAGACACTACATCTGTCACACATAGGAGAACTGGACACGCTTGGGGAAAATGAAGAGGACGGAGAGCAGTAGGTTCACTTCTCCTTTCTCAGGAAGGGAAGTGGCATTGCATGTCCTTGCTGAAAGCTCGTCTGCCAGGTTACATAATGCTTTCCCCGGGTTATGAAATACCTAGGTCCCTGAGGTCACTTGCCATTTGATTCCTTGTTACCTCATGTGTTCACTTAGCCACCACATGCCCGAACACACCGCGATGCGTTTAGTGTGCAAACAGCAGCAAGGAAAGGAAAGTATATGGCACCTGCCCTTAAGACATTTGGAGTTGAGGGAGGAATGCCATTGGGAATGGATTAATGAGAACTCATCATGGAATCCAGTTATAGTAAGGGCTGTAAAAGATACCAGACGTGGTGGGTGAACACATGCCTGTAACCTCAGCACTTGAGAGGTGGAGGCAAAGGATCCAGAGTTCAAAGTCAGCCTTAGCTACTTAGCAAGCTGAGGTCAATGAACTACATGAGACCCCGTGTCAAACAAACATGCAAAACATCCTGAAATAAACCCTGAGGGACAGGCATACGTTATGGAGCCACACTCAGATGTGCACATATACTACACACACACACACACACACACACACACACACAGAGAGAGAGAGAGAGAGAGAGGGGGGGGGGAGAGAATCTGCTAAAGATGCATCTGAAACCCCAGTACTGGGGAGGCAGAGACAGGATGTTTGGCTTTTGCTGGCCAGCCAGTCTTCCACCTCCAGGACCAGCGGAAGACTTACAATCTACTCTATACAGATCTGGTCAGAGAGGGGAAGAAAGCTTGCCCACCAGGGGACAAGGCAAGTTCTCACTGAGAAGTCAGGGGTCCACGAGGCAGGCTCCAGAAATGTACCAGACACTGGGAAGAGATTCAGCTACTGCAGGCCGGGCTGTGTGGAGATGGGGGCTCTGGAGCTGCACAAGGCTTTGTTTCTGCCTTCTCAAGTTCGCAGAGCCCTGTGATGCTGCTAAATGTGTTAATGGCAGGGCCTGCACTTTAAAAAAACGCCTTCAGCTCAGCTCTGAGACGCTGAAAGGAAGGGCCCAGAGTGACCCCACTGGAAGGTGAGTGGCCCACAAGATGGATGCTCAAGGGATGCCAGAGGCCTGGAAAGATCTTCCACATGGGAAGATGGGGAATCAGGTTCAGAACTCAGCCTGCAACTGCAAGGCTACCTGTGTGCTGATGTGCCCAAGGGTGACCCTCCCTCACCCCCCCCACCCCCACCCCAGTGTCTGTGCATATACTTCCCTTCACCAGCTGCATGACACACAGGAAGTGCCCTCTTCCTAGAAGACGCATCCAGTAGCGTTGGGTGCTGCTCGAAGACTTAGAGTTCCAGTTTTAACAATTCCACCCCAGGCCTGCCAAAGTCAACTGCAGGGTTAGGGTCTGAGGAAGGCTGTTGGCCTGTGTTCTGAGTGAACCTGGTAGAGTTCGCTGTGTGAGCAGACAGTGGCCCTAAAACCCTCTGTCCGAGCTGGTTGGTTGGTGTCAACTCAACACAAGCTAGAGTTGTCTGAGGGAACAACGCTGAGAAAATGCCTCTATCAGATTGACCTGTAGGTCAATTGGTGATTGGTGTGGGGGGGGGCGTGTCCAGTTCACTGTGGGCGGAGCAACTTTGGGCAGGAGGTCCTGGGCTGTATAAGAAAGCAGGCCGAGTAGGCCACTTCTCCATGGCTTCTGCCTCAGCTCTTGCCTCCAGGGACCTGACTTAGCTCCTGCCTTGCCTTCCATGGATGATGGGCTGTGAGCTATAAGAGGAAATAAACCCTTTCCTCGCCGAGTTCCTCCCACCCATAGTGTTGTATATCAGCAACAAAACCACTAATCCAGACAATGGGCTATTCAGAGCCCCCATCTTTGAGAGCTGGGAGTAGGTTAATCGTGTGTGCTTTCTTATCCAATCAGACACCTGACAGGGGGTGGAGGTTCTATTAATTAACTGCTAAGGTGGCCTGGGGAGACAGTTTGGTCTGTAAAGTGATCGCCACACAAGCTGAGCCACCTCCAGCACCGGCATAGAAAGCCGGATGCCGGGGCAGGAGAGAGCTCAGAGTGGAAAGTGCTTGCTGCACAATCACGAGGACCGGAGTTCAAGCCCCAGCACCCACATAAAGAGCCTGGCATCGCCTTGCATGTGCCCCTAACACCAGTTTTGTGAAGTGGAGACAGGAGGATTGGTGGAGCTGGCTGGCCACCAGCCACGCTTTAGGCTCAGTGAGAGCCCTTGTCTGGGATAAATAAGGTGGGGAGTGACAGAGCTGGACACCTGATACCCTCTGGCCTCCATGTATGTGGCTATGTGCCTGCACCCACACTCACCTGTACACATACACTAAATACATACATGCCACATATACACATGAATTATATGTGTGTGTGTGTGTGTGTACATACACACACATATATATATGTGCGTGTGTAGAGATGCATTTGAAACCCTGGTGCTGCGGAAGCAAAGATGAAGTGATGGATATCTGGGCTTGCTAGCCAGTCAGTCTAGACAATCTTCCATCTCCAGGATCAGTGGGAGACTCATATAAGGCAATGGGCTGGAGAGATAGATCAGCGACTAGGAGCACTTGTTCTTATGGAGATCTGGATTCAGGTCCCAGCTCTTACTTACATTCCTGGACATAGTGGCTCCCAGCCATTGGTGACTTTGTTGTTGTTGTGTTTTTTGAAGACAGGGTTTCCTGTGTAGCTTCGGAGCCTGTCCTGGAACTAGCACATGCATAGCTCGGGGGAAGGAGGGATTTTCTCTGGAAAGCGTGTTCACTCCAGGAAGAAGGGGAATTTTAGGGTACCTTCTTCAGTCAGGTATTTTCTTCCCTCAGCCAAATCATAAAAGAGTGATCACTGGAAATCGAAGCACACCCCACCACCAAAGACACTTTTATTCCTAGGTTCCAGCCTTATAGGCTAAGTCCTGAAAATTTCCCCATCGTGATCACAAGGGTAACTATTTGGCTTCACCCAGCCGACCACGCCCAGGAAATGGTTCTTCCAATGGGAGGCTCTACCCAGGTGCTCATTAAAAATGTAGACACTCCCGGCCCAGAAGTACTGAACCAGAACCTGCATTTTAGCTGAATTCACAACCCAAAATGATTAAGACGCATATAAACGTCTGAGACAAACCCCTGGATTTTGACCTTACAGTAAGAAAGCAGTCTTTTACAACGTGATCGCGCACGCATGCACATAAAACTGAAACCAAGCTCTCATGAAGCAGTGCTTACCGTTACTTTTATGAGGGAAAACAATGTGTCGGGGACTCCAGAGCTACATTTCCCAGTCCCCTCCTTGTTCTCAGCGGAATTATGAAAGCCCTGGGAGGTGTGTGTGTGGGGGGTGCTTGGTGGGGTGTCAAGAAAAGCGGCTTAAGCACTTTCTAGCTTGTTTTGGGAAACGTGCGCTTAGTCACTTCTGAGTTTGAACTTGGAGCCTGGACGTAGGGGGTGGGGGTGCGTGGGAGGGCTGCGAGGGGGCAGCTGAAAGTTTGCAGAGTCCTCGAAGGGGCCTTGATTGGCGGCAGGAGGAAAGCCAGGGCTGGAAGCTGGAGAGGGCTGGGGCTGGAAGGCTCTCGGCGGCGAGAGGTCCTGCCCAGCTGTTGGCGAGGAGTTTCCTGTTTCCCTCCCAGCGCCCGGGTAAAGTTGATGAGTGAGTCACTCGCGCGCACCGACCGACGACACCCCCCGCGCGCGCACACGCTCGCCTGGGGGACGGAGCCCCAGCCTCCTGCGCAGCTCTCCTCGGCCGCCGGGGGCCTCCTCCGGGCCTCCAAGCTCCCCGGATCGCCGGCCACATCTGGCCCGCACCTCTGCCCGGCGCGCTCGGGGCGGCCCAGGCACCCTGAGAGGACGAAGAGTCAAGGCGCAGCCCGGGGTCCCTGAGGCTCGGTTCGCGGCGCCCCAGGGGCCGGTCTATGACGAGCGACGGGGGCTACCATGGGTCGGGGGCTGCTCCGGGGCCTGTGGCCGCTGCACATCGTCCTGTGGACGCGCATCGCCAGCACGATCCCGCCGCACGTTCCCAAGTCGGGTGAGTGAGTGGCCGGGGCGCGACGCTGGGGTTCCACTAGGGCTCCTCGGTCCTCCTCCAACCCCCAGGGCAGCGATTGACAGTCGGCCGCGGGTCCCGGCGGCGAGAGGGCGGAAACGGGAAGTTTGTAGCAGTCCGAGTCGTCCCAGGCCGGCGGGGATCGGAGAAGATCTCTCGCAAGAGAGGACAGTTCACTTGCGGGAGACTTGGGGACGCTCCTGACCCCTTTGTGCGCGCATGAGAGGTTAGGGAGGCCGCGAGGGCCTGCACCCCCGGAAAGGGAAGTTTGAGAAGTTGGGGCTTGGAGGAGTCGCGTCGCAGCAGGGGACTGACTGGCTGCCCAGCTGTTGCACACCTGGGCCGAGTACACACCGACTGAACCAGACTCTCAGTTCTCATTTCTACCACCTCGGCAGGGATTCCGGGCCCCGACTCACTGGAAACAAGTTTGAGAAAAGAACTGATCTCAAATGGCTGTCATCTATCCCCCAGGCCTGCAGGGATGGGGACCCAATAAGGGTGGTCAGTTTGATGGCTTAGAGTAATTTACTGCTTGCCTACTAAGTGCTGGACTCCAAGGTGGTGCCCGGAGTTAAAGATTTCAGTGGTTGTCATTCAGGGGAAACACCTAACCCAGGATGCCCACCGGGTCCCATGGCAGGGGGACAGGGGCTTCCAGTTAAGAAAGAAATTCAGGAACCAGGACTCCTTCCTAAGGGCTTGCCTGGGAAGTGCAGACTCCCTGACATTTTAGCTCAAGAAGTTAGTATTTATTGTTGGAGCTATTTGTGGTCAGGGCCACTATTTGGGCAAGTCACATGACTCTGGGCCTCAGTTTCCCAGTTGTACATACATCTCTGTGGTTCAGTTTGTATACATTTGGCACTCTTTTTATTATTGGCCTCCTGCACCCTTCTCTGCGAGATGGCCAGGGTCGTTTTCGGGTAAGGGAGCTCTTTGCAGGTGTCAGAGTAGGTGAGGCGATTTTAAGAGTTAAGGATGGTGTTGAAAACAGGGAAATTCCCACCAGGGTTCTATAGTTTCTTAAAGTCTGCTTTGGTTTTGCTGGTCTCCATTAAGCTGCAGCTCCAGAAAGTTAAATCCTCTCTAATGTTACCCCGGCGTTGACTGGAGACTTGGCTCCATGGATAAGAGCATTCTCTGTGCAAGCTTGAGGACCTGAGTTCAAATCCCCATATCCATATACAAAGTTGGGTGTGGTCCCTCGTCAACCTCGTGGTGATGGTAGAAGACTGGAGGCCTTTAGAAATGGATGGATGCCAACCTGGCTGTAGGCTGGGTGACAGCCCCAGAGAGAAGGGAATCATGGGAAGACTGAGAGCAGAACACCTGGTCTCCTCCTCTGTCCCCCACCCACACATACGTATAGACCTTTCCCCCAACACACATACACATGCAAACCGTTTTAAAAAGGAGGTTAAAAGCAAACCCCTCTGGATTTGGCTGATGACCATCACACATGACACCCATCCTTTTCTGTGTACACAGAACATTTGCTTTAGACTGGGAAGGAACAAAACTCAGGGGGCCCGGATTTAAGTTTTGTTTACAATGTTAAGATTTGTGATTTTCAAATTCCAGGCTCTGTAGCTCATGAGTCATTTATACACACAGTTTTAAACAATTAGCTGACGGGCCTGGTGGGTCTTTTTAATTTGGCCTTTAAATAGTTTTATAAAACTGAGGCTTTTCACATTTCTGTGGAATTGCCTTTCCAGAATCTTTGGACAATTCATTTTTGAGTTGAACCTAGGTGGCCAAAGTTTTCAAAGATGGTTTAGAGTTGGAAGACAGCTCCCAGGGAGAGGCTGCATGGAATTCCACTTGCCTTTCATTTTCCACAGGAGGGAAGGGTGGCAGGATACTCTGACATGATGGTAAATTATGAAAATAGTTTTCAAGATAGCTTAATGCAAGATAAGATTTGAAGGAACTAGAGACCGTTTACAGAGTCCTAGTCAATCCTTAAAGAAAATTCAATTCAACCCATCTTATGCTTACCAGCCTGCCAGGGGGGCAAGCGATTTCAACACAAGACACATTTGCACTAATCTGTCTGTCTATCTATCTGTATTACTTTTTTTCTCCTGTGTATCTGTGGGTGCTATGTGTGAGCGCTGGAATAGAGTGGGCACGCACTTGGGTGCTCATGGGTGTGGAGGCCAGAGGTTGTTATCAGCTGTCTTCCTCAGTGTCTCTCCCCACTTCATTTACTGAGGCAGTGCAGGGCCTCTAGCTGAGCCCAGAATGCACCGCGTTGGTGCCAGCTTGCCTTGGGGCTAGCACTGCAGGAGGCCCTCTTTCTGGCTGTGTTTGTAGGTGATGGGGATGTGAATTAAGGTCCCCACACTTGCAAGACAAATGCTTTATAAGCTGAGTCAAGAAATGTATTTAGATAAGTTTTAATTAAATATTTTTTGTTTGTGTGTGTGTGTGTGTGTGTGTGTGTGTGTATGTGCATATGTGTGTCTGCTCCTGTGTTGCAGTCATCCAAGGATGACTTTGGGAGTTGGTTCTCTTCCTCTACCATATGAGACCCAAGAATTCAGATCTTGGAACTTGGCTGCAAGCACCGTGACTTGTTGAGCCCTCCTGCAGCCCTCCAAAAATTAAAATGTTTGCTTTTGATGCATTATGTTCACACTTAGTAAATGCTCCAAAATCAGAAATGACTTTTAGAGGAAAACATACCCGGGAAGCATCAGACCTTAGAAAATATGGTTTTCATTTCTGAGGTGCCACAGAAGGGCCCTTACAGGGGACCAAACCTTGGTCCGGTGTCCCAGGGCTCACTGGTCCTTACAGGCTTTTGAAGGTCCAACTCACCTTGTCCAGGTCTGGGACCAGAAATCTTTGAGTCCTGGGGATTAATCTTTGGGCCGGCTTTCTTCCCACTCCCCATTTCCACGTTCAGGGCATTTCCTTTAATGACATCTCCTGTTGAACAAGTGGCTTTAATTTGGTGCCTCTGTTTTGACTTAGCGCCCCACATTGAGGACCCCTTATTAGATGCCACCGCTGTAGGTCCTCCGTGACATCTGCATCTATCTGTTTCGTCCTTCTTCTGCCACCAACCTGCCTTCTTTACAGTTCTCTTTTCATTTGTGAATTTTTATGTTAAAATTTGGCGTTATTTATTCCATACTCATGGCTGTGTGAGGCGTGAGGCAGCTGTTCCTATAGACAAACAGGAGAGTGAAGCTACTACAGGTGTCCACGGAGAACAGAGTGTGTTACATCCCCTGGAGCTGGAGTTACAGATGGCTGCAAGCCTTCCAGTGTAGATGTTGGGAGTGGAACCCGGGTCCTCTCCAGCAGCAGGATGTGATCCTAACAGCAGAACAAGCTCTCTCCAGCCCCTGGGAACATCTCTATTTCCTGAACATTAATGATACCTCATTAATGCTATCTTCCAAAGTGCCTAATTATTCTTCTTTCTTCGCTGTATTTATTGAACATCTCCTTCTTAGCATCAGTTCTCAATCAGTGAGCCCTGACTGACCCTTTCCCAGGGGTGGCATATCAGCTAGTCTGCCTATCAGACATTTACATTATGATTCCTAGTAGTAGCAAAATTGCAGTTATGAAGCAGCAAGGAAATAATTTTACGGTTGGGGTCACCACACCTGAGGAACTGTATTAAAGGGTTTCAGTATCAGGAAGGTGGAGAACACGTATGTAGAGGGATAGTAAGACCCAGAGGAGCCTGCCCCAAATGAGTGGGACAGGCCCATCCTTCCTCACTTTGTTTCTCTGAGCTCATACCTGCATCGTGGTGTCTCAGACAGAGCACCGACACATCAGGGGCTTGCTTAGAGCACTGTCTCCCATACCTCCATTCCTCATGTTTTGTGGAATGCACCAGGAGGGTGCACACCTTAGAGATTTCCTTCCCGGTGCCTCTGTGTGTGTGTTTCTAATTGCTGTGTTCTTACTTTACCATCTCTGTCTGGTTGAAGTCAGCCAGAAGACCTGCAGACCTCATGGTTCCTGTTACACAAGCTGCACCAAGTCTGTCCGGCCTGTCTTTCTGTTGGATGGGCCAGAGTTGGAGTGAGGGCTCCACACTGCACGTTAGGTTGCCTTGGCTTCCAGTCCTGCCTCTCCCGTACTGGCTATGCGATCTGTGAGTCCTTTGCATTCATGGTGTAAAACTGGGATGATGGTAGGGTGGATAAAATAATACTTTCAAGTGCTTAGCCCCATGTCCACGCCCCACAGACGTCAGGTCTGTTCATTATTAACGCTTCAGTCACACCTGGCAAAGGCCTCACTGACCACGTTCATTCTGACTTTGCGTCCTACCAAGGCCTCCAGCTTCCCAGGCCTCAATCTAGGCTCTCGGCTGCTGCTCCTCCATTCACTTTCTGCTGCCTCTCTTTGGAAGTCCTGTCCAACCATGTTTTCCCATCTTTGAAGACCTACCTACCTTGGGCCTTGTAAGGAAACCTGCTTTGGGTGTGCCAGGTGGGCCAATTGTCTCTTTCTCTGCTCTCTCTCTGCCCCTAAGAGTCATCTTTGTGTGATTCCCTTGTCCACTGAGATTTGCAGCCCCTCAAAGGCAAGCAAGTGCTGTTACTCAGAGACGGATGTCCAGGGTTGACCCAGGCTGACACATGATTTTTTCAGGAAGGACTGAGCTGAGCCCTCTTCATCCTGCTGGGAAAGTGTGACAGGGACACAGTCTTCACTGCCTAGGCTTTCCCCGCTGTGTTAGCTTTGGTCTCGAATGATTGGAGTATCTAATCAGTGAGGCTTTAGGTTTGGCTCTGCAGAACCTGCAACTGAACCCAGAGCTCTATGCACGCCCCATCCCTCTCTCTACTGCCCCAATCAGCCTTAAATCCCCTGGGCTAAAGCAGCCCTCCAGCCTTCATTGCCTTGGCTTCAGCCCTTAATAACCAGGTCCCCAGGCCTGGGCCTCCAGGCTCAGCGTGGCTATTTCTATGCTATGTAATTGGTTCCTATATTCTGACCAA